AACGTTCAGCGTTCTTAATACTGTTCAATACTGATGTCAACTCGCAAGCTACATACACCAAGCAGCGGTGTATATAACGGTATATATATTATATATCATGGTTATAATTTCAGTTACTGATGACTCCTCGTTCTCTGTTCATTAACTGTCATTTCATGATAATTTTTATTCATTTACTCTACGAATTTTTTTCCGTTTTCTAAATGCAGTGTTTGTTTAAATTCATGCGAATATAATCTATTTATTTAATACGTTTAATCTGTGTTAGGTTTCACTTCTATTTATATTTAGTAATGTATCTGTGAAGCCTAGCGCACGGTGCGGGTGTAGTGTGGGTGTCATCACCTCATGGTCATCGCTGCCCAACCAAAGCCTGGCCAAGTTTCAACATGTGTCTCAGGTAAAGTGTAAAAGGCTAGTTAAAACAACGCCAATTTACTGGGACATATAAACAGGTCACCGTAAAACACTGAGAAACTGAAGTTCTCTATATACAACTGATATACAACTTGTATACAACTGATACTCCAATCACAACAAGGAACTTTAACAACTCTCGTATCACATCAAGGGACTTTAAACACAACTATCTAAATCAGTCACAGGCATTAACTTATGACACACTTTGGACTAGCCGACACCAGGCTCCAACCCGGCGCAGTGGTACACTAACCTAAGTAACAGATTAGTGGTGTCATACATCAATAAATAGTGAGGTGAGGAATCAATAACATACTACAACACAATAACAATCACCTACGACCCTCACATACCCCCACAAAAGCACCTGTCACCTGACATAACTGATATACCTCGGTAGCCTAATCCACTACACATCATTACTCTTATATATACATTAGTAAACAATATACAACACAGCTCAAGAGCTGGACGTCTCACGTCCGCTTGTCTGGGAAATCAAGAGGGTATCAAAATCAAGGAATTTTTTTCAAGGGAAATCAAGGAAGAAATCAAGGGCCGAGCCGGCCGAGAATGACCTTGTTACCAACATGTCAAGTCACGCCAACTTTCCTCCTTCACATATCAGAAGCTCAAAACCCAAATATTACTTCTAATTCATACAATACCTAAAGATATACACTATACAATGTTCTCCACAGGAGAGTACACATCAAAACTCAAGGTATACAGGAATATAGCACGATATATGCTAAAACACATATGGAAGTCATTTCTAGTACACATGGTAATACAGGCATGTTCTGTTCAGGGGGAAGGATATGGAAGGATTTCCAGCAGTTACCGGTCGATGGTTATACCTACGTTGTTCAAGACGTAGATCACAGTATATCCCTAGTCATACCTCAAGTATATATATAAATCTACATAATATATACACGGTAATAATATATGGGCAGTTTCCTGTTCCAGCGCCTCAGTGTCGCAGTTCAGAGAGGAAATGCAAGCTGTATCCTGGGTACACACCCGACCTCCGAGGAGCTGGACGAGGTCTTCAAACACTGATTGTTATATTGGTACATATGTGTGTGTTCTCAGTAAACTGTAGCATTGCGATAATAATATATAACGTTCCAATACGTAGACATGTAATGGTAGTTGGATGAAACACGAATTTAAAGTGCTGTGAACTAGCGAATTCCCAAAACGACACTACGGGCTCACCATAGCCCGTGCTACTTCGAACTTTTTGTTCCAGGGTAGCGAATCTTAAACAACAACAACTCGAAACGGGATTTCAGAGACAAGAGTAATTGTAATATTAGGCTAATCAACTAATATTTTACTATACAGTTTGACCGCATCACAGACACAATATATTCACACACTGGTGTATGTGTGGTGTGTGGTTGTGTAGTGTGTGGTTGTGCAGTGTGTGGTTGTGTTCAGGAAGAGCTCGCAGTGCAATGGTTTAATTAAAACACTTGGGATCACTGGATAGTTTCAGATGTAGGTGAGACATATATAGTCACAGCTGGACAGGACCCAGAATTCCAAAAGGACTGAATTCCTGGAACTCGTCCATTATGGGGACCGTGACCGGAAAAGTCGGTCCATCTTCCAGACAGGACCGAAATGGTGGACCGACGGTCCGTTCTAAAGCAATTCCGAACGGTTCGAAATTCCCGGGTCCATTTTTAAATTTGAAAAACTACAAGAAGACTGCGTTTCAATGTATATTATTTACAAATAAAAATGTCTGTATTTCAATTTTGATGTAGGAGTGAATTTATATAATAATTATGAATATATTTGTTTGAAATCTGCGTCAGTTGTGTACAATCTCTGAAGAAAATTATCTGCTAGCATTGTTTGGCAACTGATGATATGGCTTGCCATCGACCACCACCAGACCGTACGGTGAATATTAGGCGTGTTAGTAGCAAAGGTGCTGGTGTGTGAAGGTGCTGGTCTCTGAGGCTGGTGTGTGTAAGGCTGATGTATGAGGGTGATGTGCTATGCAGCTCCTGATCATGAAGTAATCATTCTTCCCTCTGTATTATCTGTAGCTGTGTGTCCTAATCATTAAGAATCGGCTATCGTAGAATTTGTCTTTGAATGTTTTCAGCAAATATTGAATTTAAATCAATAGTTAGGAATCAAATTGTCCTCAGGCTATGTTCATTCCATCCAGCGTCCGACCCCAAGGAGTAGTCATCAATTTTAACGTGCTGTTAGTTCAAAATAGGAACGTTCCAAAAATGAATATTATGATGTATTAACATATCGTGCTTATTTAGGCATAAGTTAGGTTAGGTATTTAGGTTCTGTTGGCAATTATTTGTATGTGTTAGCACGTGGACGAAGAATTTACAGTAGCAATTCGAACAGAGGTCGTCAGGAGAGAAGTGTTCGAACAGTTGTGAGTCATGTGAAAAGCGTTGTTTATTTATAAACAGGAGCCGGATTCTTCAAGCCGTTAAGCAAGCACTTAGGAAAACTTTTTCCCTTTCGATCGCATTCTTGACATTTTCTTCGCGATTCAACAAACTGTTTACGAACGCCGAGCTTCCTAAGGACAGCCCTCCATACCAAGGGTCAGATTCACGAAGCAATTACGCAAGTACTTACGAACGTGTACATCTTTCCTCAATCTTTGACGGCTTTGGTTACATTTATTAAACAGTTTACAAGCATGAAAACTTCCCATTGAACTGTTGTTATTGTTATAAACAGCCTCCTGGTGCTTCGGAGCTCATTAACTGTTTAATAATTGTAAAGAAAGCCGCCAAAGATTGAGAAAAGATGGACAGGTTCGTAAGTGTTTTCGTCGATCTGGCTCCAGGTTCGTAAGTGAATGCGTAATTGCTTCGTGAATCTGGCCCTTAGACATCTTGGAAGCACTCGTAGCCTCGCGTCAAGTATTCTCAACTACACAACCTGTCTTGGCTGGCAGATCTCCTCATGTTAGCAATATATGTTTTATGTATCTGTAACCTGAATTAAATATGTACTTTGTGAAAGGACAAATATTATTATAGCAAGTTATTACATAAATACTTAATATGTAAATAGTTATTGCTAATCAACTAAATCGAAGACAATTATTTCCATGACCGTTTATATGATCCTACATTTACGAATAATATTACACTCTATAAACATTGAGAATCCTGAATTACTAATTAAATGAGGATGATATTGGTAAAATAATAATAATACCAATAATAATGTTATTTATATAATACAATATACATTACAACATGTTACAATTAGCAGGTACATAAGTTTGGTATTTAAAAGCCTCGAAAGATGTTGTAAAGCTTATCCTTTATCCGTAATCATTCAGTTTATAATTTATGTCATTTAATTGTATGTCATTTAATCATTGTATGTCAATTTGTGTCATTTAATTGTATGTCCTTGATACGTTAAAAATGTAAATGTTTTATGTCTCAACGGAAGGCGAAATACAAGCTACAATTTAAATCATTTTCATCTAAAGTGTGACAAGTTCCAGAGGAAATACGCGCCCAATAATACTGGACTCGGGCGTCTCCTCGCCCGGCCACCGCCGGTAAATTCTGTTATTAAATACATTAAGTTTTGTTAATAATGCTTTAAAGTTTTACCCGCCATCAGGAGGACAGAATAATACAAGTTATTAATACAGAGTAATACAAGTTATTATGAATCCATCATAGGGGAAATACAACTTATCAGATAGCAAAGCTATTCTTTAATGATGGTGTCTTGCAGTCGCTTGAGTTACCCATTAGAACTGAATTAGCGGTAAATATGTACCTGGGAGTTAGACAGCTGCTACAGGCTGCTTCCTGGGGGGAGGGGGGGGGGTGTAATAAAAAGGAGGCCTGGTCGAGGAACGGGCCGCGGGGACGCTAAGCCCCGAAATCATCTCAAGATAACCTCAAGATAGCCCAAAACAACCCAATGCCTCTCTTAGGCTTATGTAGGTATCGAGGATATATAACATATTTATTTACTACAATGTTGGGGCTGAATGTAGAACGTGAAGAAAACATAATTTTTACTTGAAAATAAACTTAAGTTTTTAAGAAAAAGAGATGGCAAAAATATGTGAGAGGTGAGGCCTAACCGATACTCGTATTGTACTATCTTGAGGTTATCTTGAGATGATTTCGGGGCTTTAGTGTCCCCGCGGCCCGGTCCTCGACCAGGCCTCCACCCCCAGGAAGCAGCCCGTGACAGCTGACTAACACTCAGGTACCTATTTTACTGCTAGGTAACAGGGGCATAGGGTGAAAGAAACTCTGCCCATTGTTTCTCGCCGACACCCGGGATCGAACCCGGGACCACAGGATCACAAGTCCAGCGTGCTGTCCGCTCGGCCGACCGGCTCCCTAGGTCTGTGTTTTATATTATCTGAAAATTATGCTGCCGTAATCCGATGCTCTTGGATGCAGGTTCGAATCCTCGTCACGGCCCTTGTGGATTTGTTCATTTGATGCATCACGTAATTGGGATTTCTGTGTGTAATTATGCTGCCGTTTTTATAATGATATAAAAGGACGAGTCATGTTTGTGAGCGACAGAGCTGTGATGGGTTGTCTGTTTTACAGGAATGTATCCTCGTGAAGGTGAAGCAGAGAGGGAGTCGACACCTGGTCCTGTTGCTGCTGCCCAGGTAGGGTGGGAGTCTGTATGCTAAGTACTCACCTACTTGTACCCGCCTAGTTGGGCTTGTTGGGGGGTTGAGCTTTGGTCCCGCCTCTCAACCATCGTTGTTTTAGATTCAGCTGCTTAGAACAACAGTCCCAAGTAGCACGGGCTATGATGAGCCCGTAGTGGACTTACCTGACACAGGAGCGGGGCTGTAACTGGCCTCTCAACCGTCAATCAACTGGTGTACAGGGTCCTGAGCCTATTGGGCTCTATCATATCTATAATCGAAACTGTGTATGGAGTCAGCCTCCACCACATCACTGCCTAATGTATTCCATTTACTAACTACTCTGACACTAATATGTGTCACTGACACTGACACCTATGTATACGTCTCTATATGTATACCACGCTTCTCTGTCATGTATACCATAAGTATATGGTCTACACTATATAGACCATACATATGCATGATCTACATAGTAGACCATACATGTAGTCTACAATGCAGTCTACTATGTAGACTACATAGTGTAGACCATACAGAGTTTGTATGGTCTACACTATGTAGACCATACAAACTCTCATACACGAATAAGCAGTATGCACCCTTGAGTAGATTATGTTTATGAAAAGCAAGTGTTCGCGCACACACACACACACACACACACACACACACACACACACACACACACACACACACACACACACACACACACACACACACACACACACACATTAGGCAGTGATGTGGTGGAGGCAGACTCCATGCACAGTTTCAAATGTTGATATGATAGAGCCCAGTAGGCTTAGGAATCTGTACACCACTTGATTGACGGTTTGAGAGGCGGGACCAAAGAGCCAAAGCTCAACCCCCGCAAGCACAACTAGATGAGTACACAACCATAATAACCTCATTAATCCAACCGGTTTCTGGTTGTCAGAGGACAACCATAGACCGTAATCGTCCACGTGCCTGATATTACTCAACAAACATTTCACGGAACACCATAAAATGTTGTATATACAAATCCTTGTCATATATGTTGATAGTTTGGCTCTGACAGCAACACATCATCAAAACCGCTCCAAAAGTTAGTAATTTACATCGCCCACGTGAATCGGGTTTGTTTTTAACTCGTATGACAGCACTAAAAATGTTTAGGGTACAATCCCTTTATATATATAGTGTGTTAGATCATGTATCTTACATGCTATATACGATACATGCTCTAGTTGGATGCTTGGTGATGTCTTGGGAGTATGCAAGTACTGCTTGAACAATCAGGAAGTTATTCAAGTATATTGAGACAAGATAAAAATACATCTCAAAGTTATAATGTAGCTTAGGCTACGGGAGGTATTTGTCGGGTAATGGTATATGACCACTGACACTGAATGATAACGTAAGCTGATGTTAATTAGTGCTCCGAACCAACGAACCATATATATGTTGACCAGACCACACACTAGAAATTGAAGGGACGACGACGTTTCGGTCCGTCCTGGACCATTCTCAAGTCGATTGTGAGAATGGTCCAGGACGGACCGAAACGTCGTCGTCCCTTCAATTTCTAGTGTGTGGTCTGGTCAACATACTTCAGCCACGTTATTGTGACTCATCGCCTGCGAACCATATATATGTCTAACCTACGCTTGAAACAATCAGGAGATCCCACGTCTTATGCTATCCAGTAAATTATTCCATGAATCAATAACTATTTCGAGACCAATATTTACCCAAGTATCTTCATCAAAACTAAATGCGATAAATAACTCTAAAGTCAAAAAATCGACATCGCACTTCTTCATATTAATCAGTAGCCCGTCCTCCTAAGGTTTCACAAGATCATGAAACTGTCTGTACTAAAAGTGCCCTCTCCTAACCTACCAGAGGACGCAACACAGAAAACGGGACATTGCTAGTATTTTAGAACGACAATTTATGTAATATACTAAGCCCATTACAATTAAAAATGACTATTGTATGCCTAAAACTATTGTATTTTATTTAAATATTATGTATTATTGTGTACTAATTTAAATAATGTGTATTATTGTGTACTTATTTAAATAATGTGTATTATTGTTTACTAAATTAAATAATATGTATTATTGTGTACTAATTTAAATAATGTGTATTATTGTGTACTTATTTAAATAATATGAATTATGGTGTACTTATTTAAATAATATGAATTATGGTGTTCTTATTTAAATAATATGAATTATGGTGTACTAATTTAAATAATGTGTATTATTGTGTACTTATTTAAATAATATGAATTATTGTATACTTATTTAAATAAATGTGTTATCATACGTTCTGTAAGGGTTCACAGTCTCCTTAGCTGCGTTTTTAATATTATTTTCAATTATTTGCTTGAGTTACCCCTTAAGACTCGCGCAAGTGCTCTAATTGTAATATTTATATATATTTAAGAATAACTTTAATAATTATAATGTTTCTCAACTTATTATGTATATATATTGTTATTCAATATATATTTAAACCAGATTACACGTTAATACAAATAAATGTATAGTTACTCAGATTTACTGTCTTATAACTTGAGATACATAAATAGTAACATATGTTCATGAACTCTAATTGTAACCATTTTGCTTCAGAATGTGTCTACATTTCTAATATTATTTAAATGCATTCAATAAAACATTTATTTAAATAAGTACACAATAATTGATATTATTTAAATAAGTACACAATAATACATATTATTTAAATAAGTACACAATAATACATATTATTTAAATAAGTACACAATAATACATATTATTTAAATAAATACACAATAATACACATTATTTAAATAAGTTCACAATAATACATTATTTAAATAAGTAACAATAATACATATTAAATAAGTACACAATAATTCATATTTAAATAAATACACTGGTTTTAGGCATTCAATAGTCATTTTAGTTGTAATGTGCTTAGTAAATTACAAGCAGCCAAACATGTAAATTACTGCGCGTTATTGGTTTCATAAGAAATTTGTATTATTAGGTATAATACTAATATAATCATGCAGTCATTTTCCGGGATTGAATTCAATATTATTTTGGCCATGAATAAGCCTAGCTCGTATTTAATACTTCTACTGTTATTCTTTTACACTATATTTGGAGCAGTCGGGGGTGGAGAGGTTGTTCCACAGGGGAGTGTGGAGCAGGTGGAGAGGTTGTTCCACAGGGGGAGTCTGGAGCAGGTGGAGAGGTTGTCCACAGGTGGAGTCTGGAGCAGGTGGAGAGGTTGTCCACAGGTGGAGTCTGGAGCAGGTGGAGAGGTTGTCCACAGGTGGAGTCTGGAGCAGGTGGAGAGGTTGTCCACAGGGGGGAGTCTGGAGCAGGTGGAGAGGTTGTCCACAGGGGGAGTCTGGAGCAGGTGGAGAGGTTGTCCCACAGAGGAGTCTGGAGCAGGTGGAGAGGTTGTCCACAGGTGGAGTCTGGAGCAGGTGGAGAGGTTGTCCCACAGAGGAGTCTGGAGCAGGTGGAGAGGTTGACCACAGGGGAGTCTGGAGCAGGTGGAGAGGTTGTCCACAGGTGGAGTCTGGAGCAGGTGGAGAGGTTGTCCACAGGTGGAGTCTGGAGCAGGTGGAGAGGTTGTCCACAGGGGGGAGTCTGGAGCAGGTGGAGAGGTTGTCCACAGGGAGTCTGGAGCAGGTGGAGAGGTTGTCCACAGGGGGAGTCTGGAGCAGGTGGAGAGGTTGTCCACAGGTGGAGTCTGGAGCAGGTGGAGAGGTTGTCCACAGGTGGAGTCTGGAGCAGGTGGAGAGGTTGTCCACAGGTGGAGTCTGGAGCAGGTGGAGAGGTTGTCCACAGGGGGGGGTCTGGAGCAGGTGGAGAGGTTGTCCACAGGGGGAGTCTGGAGCAGGTGGAGAGGTTGTCCCACAGAGGAGTCTGGAGCAGGTGGAGAGGTTGTCCACAGGTGGAGTCTGGAGCAGGTGGAGAGGTTGTCCCACAGAGGAGTCTGGAGCAGGTGGAGAGGTTGACCACAGGGGAGTCTGGAGCAGGTGGAGAGGTTGTCCACAGGTGGAGTCTGGAGCAGGTGGAGAGGTTGTCCACAGGTGGAGTCTGGAGCAGGTGGAGAGGTTGTCCACAGGGGGGAGTCTGGAGCAGGTGGAGAGGTTGTCCACAGGGAGTCTGGAGCAGGTGGAGAGGTTGTCCACAGGGGGAGTCTGGAGCAGGTGGAGAGGTTGTCCCACAGAGGAGTCTGGAGCAGGTGGAGAGGTTGTCCACAGGTGGAGTCTGGAGCAGGTGGAGAGGTTGTCCCACAGAGGAGTCTGGAGCAGGTGGAGAGGTTGTCCACAGGTGGAGTCTGGAGCAGGTGGAGAGGTTGTCCACAGGTGGAGTCTGGAGCAGGTGGAGAGGTTGTCCACAGGTGGAGTCTGGAGCAGGTGGAGAGGTTGTCCATAGGGGGGAGTCTGGAGCAGGTGGAGAGGTTGTCCACAGGGGGAGTCTGGAGCAGGTGGAGAGGTTGTCCCACAGAGGAGTCTGGAGCAGGTGGAGAGGTTGTCCACAGGTGGAGTCTGGAGCAGGTGGAGAGGTTGTCCCACAGAGGAGTCTGGAGCAGGTGGAGAGGTTGACCACAGGGGAGTCTGGAGCAGGTGGAGAGGTTGTCCACAGGTGGAGTCTGGAGCAGGTGGAGAGGTTGTCCACAGGTGGAGTCTGGAGCAGGTGGAGAGGTTGTCCACAGGGGGGAGTCTGGAGCAGGTGGAGAGGTTGTCCACAGGGAGTCTGGAGCAGGTGGAGAGGTTGTCCACAGGGGGAGTCTGGAGCAGGTGGAGAGGTTGTCCCACAGAGGAGTCTGGAGCAGGTGGAGAGGTTGTCCACAGGTGGAGTCTGGAGCAGGTGGAGAGGTTGTCCCACAGAGGAGTCTGGAGCAGGTGGAGAGGTTGTCCACAGGGGAGTCTGGAGCAGGTGGAGAGGTTGACCACAGGGAGTCTGGAGCAGGTGGAGAGGTTGACCACAGGGAGTCTGGAGCAGGTGGAGAGGTTGTCCACAGGGGGAGTCTGGAGCAGGTGGAGAGGTTGACCACAGGGGAGTCTGGAGCAGGTGGTGAGGTTGTCCACAGGGAGTCTGGAGCAGGTGGAGAGGTTGTCCACAGGGGGAGTCTGGAGCAGGTGGAGAGGTTGTCCACAGGGGAGTCTGGAGCAGGAGGTGAGGGTGTCCACAGGGGAGTCTGGAGCAGGTGGAGAGGTTGTCCACAGGGGGAGTCTGGAGCAGGTGGAGAGGTTGACCACAGGGGAGTCTGGAGCAGGTGGAGAGGTTGTCCACAGGTGGAGTCTGGAGCAGGTGGAGAGGTTGTCCACAGGGGAGTCTGGAGCAGGTGAGGGTGTCCACAGGGGAGTCTGGAGCAGGTGGAGAGGTTGTCCACAGGGAGTCTGGAGCAGGTGGAGAGGTTGTCCACAGGGGAGTCTGGAGCAGGTGGAGAAGTTGACCCACAGGTCGCCCGGCCCCTTGCAAACTTTCTTCAATTTTACATCAGACATAAACTTCCTTCCCCAAAGTATTCCACTTTCATCCGCTTCTGAGAGGTTCATAAACTAAATTTCCTGTTTCCATTTATTTTAATCAAAAACATTTTTATATTAAAAAAGCACAATTGTTTCCGTACTAAACACCTGTAATGCGTTACTTAGGCAATTCAGATTACAAGTAACAACGAAATGTCTCAGAACTTGGGGCCAGATTCACGAAAACACTTACGGAAGCACTTACGAACCTGTACATCTTTTCTCAATCTTTGGCGGCTTTATTTCCAATTATTAAACATTTAATGAGCTCCGAAGCACCAGGAGGCTGTTTATAACAATAACAACAGTTAATTGGGAAGTTTTCATGCTTGTAAACTGTTTAATAAATGTAACCAAAGCCGTCAAAGATTGAGGAAAGATGTACACGTTCGTAAGTGCTTTCGTGAATCTGACCCTTGGAATTGAAGGTTGTTCCACTTCTCTGTGGAACTCCACAGAGGAGTGGTGAGAGCCCAAGATGCTACAGGCGTTCCAACGGCGGCTCTCATCACTCAGACGCTGAAACCGGTCGATGGCACCTTTTGGGTCTTATGTCGAGTCGATGAGCATCGAACCCAGTTCTTTCAGGGGAACTTCAGGTGTTTCGTGTATATGAAGACGAAGGTATCTTGATGGTTTGATCCCCTTTACATATTCTCTCTATCTGCCTGTCGGCGCCGCCACCCTGTTGATCTACCCTAAAGGGGAAGTAGACGCAGGTAGTAGATAGATAAACTGATCAGGCAAGATACACAGGATAGAGTAGATACTCAGACCAGGGGGTGGATTCATTGTCCAGGTTAGATACACTGGCCAGGGACACGGTGGTCAGGGTAGATATGCTGGTCAGGGTAGATACTAAGGTATCTACTCCAAACTCCAACCAGGGTAGACACACCACATCAACTATCAACCAGGCACGAAGGGGCACAATATCCCGCCAGTGCCTTAAAGCTCCACGGGGGGACTATAGCATTAAGTCCTCCCATGACCCTCCGGCAGCTCAGAATGATCCGCTTCTGCAAATACATTTTGACCCGGCGTAAGGGGCGGCCGGGCGGAGGTCACTGGAGCACAGATGGTTAGTGAATTGAATCTTTGGGCGTTATTGTAATGTTTAAGACTAATCTCCGGGCGTTATTGTAATGTTTAAGACTAATTTCCGGGCGTTATTGTAATGTTTAAGACTAATCTCCGGGCGTTATTGTAATGTTTAAGACTAATCTCCGGGCGTTATTGTAATGTTTAAGACTAATTTCCGGGCGTTATTGTAATGTTTAAGACTAATTTCCGGGCGTTATTGTAATGTTTAAGACTAATCTCTGGGCGTTATTGTAATGTTTAAGACTAATCTCCGGGCGTTATTGTAATGTTTAAGACTAATTTCCGGGCGTTATTGTAATGTTTAAGACTAATCTCTGGGCGTTATTGTAATGTTTAAGACTAATCTCCGGGCGTTATTGTAATGTTTAAGACTAATCTCCAGGCGTTATGGTAATGTTTAAAGCTATTCTCCAGGCGTTATTGTAATGTTTAAGACTAAACTATACGTTATTGGGGGGAAGGGTTCCCCCCCAAATCAAGTTAGGGATTTAGTGATGTGTCCAATCCCAAATCCATATCCTGATCCCTTCTCAGTGCTGTATAGTCGTAATGGCTTGGCGCTTTCTTTTGATAGTTCCTCTCTCTCTCTCTCTCTCTCTCTCTCTCTCTCTCTCTCTCTCTCTCTCTCTCTCTCTCTCTCTCTCTCTCTCTCTCTCTCTCTCTCATATCCGTCCTGTAATCCTTTTCCCGTGAAACTAAAAATAAAGGTTTTCGAAACAAATTTCAACCCTGAAAATTATGAAAAATATATATGGATTTACCAATAAATTACAAGAGCTCCCTAACCAATACATAAAGCCATTCGATCGGGTTTGTCACCCATATAATTCATTCACAATAGTATCCTTAAATTCACCTGGATTTATATTCATGCATTCGCGCTAAAAATGATGGGCGGTTGACGCTGTAGAAAACGGTGCACGCATTTCAAATTCAAAACTTTGGCATTCGTTTTTCTTTCATATGTTAATGACCTCATTTGCTTTTAATACACGATTTGTATGCAAATTAACTCGAAGAGGACAAATATATGTTTACTTCAGATGTGGGAGGACGCCTCGGCTTGTGTGGGAACATGCGGGATGCTTAGAGCAGGGTTATGAGGTTAGTAATTGGAGCAAGAAGACTTTAAATTCAGTACAGGATGACGCAGAAGGTAACGTTAATAGGAGAGATTAAGGAGATTACATAACTTAAGACCTATCACCAGAGACACACATCAGGAAATTAGGAGAGTTATCCTTCAGGAACTTGGACAAAGATCCCTTGCAGGGGATGAGTCACAATAACGTGGCTAAAGTATGTTGACCAGACCACACACTAGAAGGTGAAGGGACGACGACGTTTCGGTCCGTCCTGGACCATTCTCAAGTCGACAATCGACTTGAGAATGATCCAGGACGGACCGAAACGTCGTCGTCCCTTCACCTTCTAGTGTGTGGTCTGGTCAACAAAGATCCCTTCTGAGCGCTGTATACTTCTTCCTTCGTGAGATCCATTATTGACTATGCTGCCCCCGGCATGGTAAACAAAGCTAGGAAAGATCCAAAAATATGCAGCAAGGTTGGTTCCTGAGCTGAGGGGACTGAGCTATGAAGAAACACTGAGGTTAACTGGACCGCACCACACTGGACGATTGAAGAAAAAGGTCAGACAACATAACGTACAAGATGCTAAGGGAAGAATTAACACAGTAGACAGAGAAGCATTGTTCTGAGTGAGGAACAGTACAATGAAAGGTCATAATAGGAAACTGAAAACACATTAAGAACACAAGAGAAGTAAGAAAGAACTTTCTCAATCTACGAGAAATGAATGGAACGAACTATACGAGCAAGTTGTCAGTTCCATCAACAGTTATAAATGAAAATATGATACGAAAACGAGTGAAAAAAAAAGATTCACACCATTGAAGGACTGACTGGCGAAAAACAGATACTCGACCCTACAAGCACAATTAGTTAAGCACAACTAGGTGAGTTAATAATAACAATGCATAAGGAAATGACATTTACGTAACGTATCAATCAGAAAATCAGTTGGAGCCATGAGGAGCACACTCCTTAAACCACTGGACCACGATATGCTATAATTATAAACAAAGGAAGCCTGTGTAGCCTGTGTATATTCTTTAGGCTTGTATCGCAATAAGTGGAACTACTGACCCTCTGCAGGATGCAACCCACAACAGTTGCCTTACTCCCGTGCACATATTTACTACTAGGAGGAACAGGTACATTAGGTAAACGTGCCTAAACCATTTCTGTCCTGCCCGGGAATCGTACCAGGAATCCACGATTTTCAGTCGAGAATACAATCAAGGGTACTGTTGACGCTAACAGGTGCCCGTGTCCCAACAGGTGATATTATTGACGCTAACAGGTGCCCGTGTTCCAACAGGTGACATTATTGACGCTAACATGTGCCCGTGTCCCAACAGGTGACATTATTGACGCTAACAGGTGCCCGTGTCCCAACAGGTGACATTATTGACGCTAACAGGTGCCCGTGTGTCCCAACAGGTGACATTATTGACGCTAACAGGTGCCCGTGTGTCCCAACAGGTGACATTATTGACGCTAACAGGTGCCCGTGTGTCCCAACAGGTGATATTATTGACGCTAACAGGTGCACGTGTGTCCCAACAGGTGACATTATTGACGCTAACAGGTGCCCGTGTGTCCCAACAGGTGACATTATTGACGCTAACAGGTGCCCGTGTGTCCCAACAGGTGACATTATTGACGCTAACAGGTGCCCGTGTGTCCCAACAGGTGATATTATTGACGCTAACAGGTGCCCGTGTTCCAACAGGTGACATCATTGACGCTAACAGGTGCCCGTGTGTCCCAACAGGTGACATTATTGACGCTAACAGGTGCCCGTGTATCCCAACAGGTGATATTATTGACGCTAACAGGTGTCCGTGTTCCAACAGGTGACATTATTGACGCTAACAGGTGCCCGTGTCCCGACAGGTGACATCATTGTGCCCGTGTTCCAACAGGTGACATCATTGTCGCTAACAGGTGCCCGTGTGTCCCAACAGGTGACATTATTGACGCTAACAGGTGCCCGTGTGTCCCAACAGGTGATATTATTGACGCTAACAGGTGCTTGTGTGTTCCAACAGGTGGCATTATTGACGCTAACAGGTGCCCGTGTCCCAACAGGTGACATTATTGACGCTAACAGGTGCTTGTGTGTTCCAACAGGTGACATCATTGTGCCCGTGTTCCAACAGGTGACATCATTGTCGCTAACAGGTGCCCGTGTCCCAACAGGTGACATTATTGACGCTAACAGGTGCTTGTGTTCCAACAGGTGACATTATTGACGCTAACAGGTGCCCGTGTCCCAACAGGTGACATTATTGACGCTAACAGGTGCTTGTGTTCCAACAGGTGACATTATTGACGCTAACAGGTGCCCGTGTCCCAACAGGTGATGGGAATGCCTCGCCAGGTGGTGGTGGAGACAGGGGGAGGCACCGCCTGGAGCCTCACCTGCTGACCGCTCAGGTGAGCCACTCTACAGCTTACCTCTTCTCTAGTATCAAGGTGAAGTCTTTATCTTTTGTGTTTTGTTTCCAGTGTCTGTATGTTTTGGTGTAGTAAAGTGTGTGTGTGTTGATGAGGTAAAGGTGTGTTGATGAGGCTTGTGTGTGTGTTTTGGTGTGGTAAAGTGTGTTTGGGTCTGGCAATTATATTTCGCGACGTTCTGGCACATTGTTGGAGGCGTTCCTGAGGCTGTGGATTGATACAAGCGTGTGCAGAACTCATCTTCTTAACAAATAAGTCGCATTTTTAACGGAATCAATCCGTTAAATGTGCGACGTATTACAGAACAGCGCATCACCGTAAATATTACGTTTTCTATGAATCGATAGGCTAGGTGCTTGTTCGTACGTTCCTGGTTAGACAAAACCGTTGTATTTTTTACGTAGAGGCAAATTGAAAGACCGAGCTGACGCATCACCTAAACTGTTTATGAGTGTGTGTGTTTCTGCACCTCGCAAGAGTCTCCTGTCTTCCCTCGTGTTCATGTTCAACCCTCACCTTAGAAAGTCCTCTTACCTTCCTCATTATTACACCTTACCTTCCCTACCTGTAAGATTTTCTTCTCACCACTCCTCTGCTTATTTATAGCCTTCTTTTCCTTCCATCATCCTACGGGCTCACCATAGCCCGTGCTACTGGAACTTATTGTTCTGAGTAGCTGAATCTAAAACAACAACAACATCCATCATCCACGGGAGACATCAACCCGTCACGCAGGGTGCAGTGGTACCTCCACAGATCTCCAGTATCATCTATTGATACTGGTAATGGCTCAAAAGGGCCACCACTTACGGGCTATTCATGCCCGTGCCACCTTTTGGGTGGCTTAATCTTCATCAATCAATTCTATCATCACAATCGACTTGATAATGGTCCAGGACGGACCGAAACGTCGTCGTCCCTTCATTTTCTAGTGTCTGGAAAAGGACGTCGTCGTCCTTTCAACTAACCTTTGAAATATAATACTAACGAACAAACTTAACAAAAACCAAGTAATAATATCAGGGGGGGTTTTAATATTGATCTCTACGAGCCTGATAACGCTCAAGTTGCTAGTTTCCTCAACTGTATGAATTCCTGCTTGCTCATACCTTTAATTACTAAACCTGCTAGAATTACTGAAACGACTGCTCCTACTCTTGATCACATTTGGACTAACATAAACTCTGCACTTAGGAATAATCACTGATAGGACCATACACCATTATCCCACATTTTTTCTAACTTAAACAATCCATGGCTTACTAAGGATATACCTAAATCTATTAATAAAACATATGACCATGAGAAGTAGTATAGGTTAGGGGGGGTGGTTCCTCTCCAAAGAAGTTTCAAGGAGATACTCATCAATGCTGTCCAAAATAATTAGGAGCCAAAATAAAATACTATGAAATAAATTTGATTAAGGGCAACATTAAGAAAACATGGTGCACTATCTCCCAAATATTAGGATCAAAGAAGATCTTGAATAAGAAGCCAATACTCCTATCCAGTGACGATGGTGTGCTTTCTGACTCTGACTTTGCCACTAAATTCAATAGTTTCTTCTCATCCATTGGCACATCCCTTGCAAATGATATCCCATCTTCCCAAACTAATGTTAAGGACTACCTTACAGGAAACTATCCAGAGTTTCTGTACCTAACTCCCACTAATTCCTCTGATGTTAATGAGATAATCCTTTCTCTTAAAACAAAGTCAAATGCCCTTGCTGAGATACCAACTCTGATTTACAAAGAAGCCTCTAGATTTCTAGCTCAGGCCATTACAATGTTCTACAACAAATCACTTGAACTCCAAGCCTTTTCTGATATTCTAAAAAAGCGAGAGTAACTCCAGTCCACAAATGTGATTTCACTGATGTCAACAATTTCAGACCTATATCAATTCTGCCAACCTTGTCTAAAATATTTGAAAAGTTAATCTATAAGCAGCTATACTCTTATCTAGCTAAACACAATATACTTACCTCTTGCCAATATGGCTTCAGACCCAAAAGAAACACCAATGATGCTCTGATTAGTATGATTAACTTGATATACGCAGCTCTTGATAAAAATGAGTTCTCTGTTGGGTTATTTCTTCATCTACGTAAGGCTTTTGACACTGTTAACCACCACAACCTTCTTAAATTACATCATTATGGAGTCAGAGGTCACTCCCTCCCCCCCCCCCCCAGTACCTTCAGTCTTACCTTAGTGACAGGCTCCTGTATATTTCTGGGAATGATTCCAATTCTTCCACTCTACTCATCAATATTGGTGTTCCTCAGGGCAGTATACATGGCCCTCTCCTCTTTCTCATCTACATTAATGACCTAAATGCCTCTCAACATCTCAAGCCAATTTTATTTGCTGATGACACAACCTTCATTTTCTCCAGTCCCTCTTATTTTGAATGACACAGTGAATACTGAACTAAATAAAGTCCATCTTTGGCTAACTGCTAACAAACTCACCCTTAACATTGACAAAATCTTCTATATTTTGTTTGGTAATAAATCCTCATATCAAATTAATCTAAGAATTAACAATATCCAAATTAGTAACAAAGTAGATGGTAAATTCCTTGGTGTTCTCATTCATAACAAGCTGAATTTCCAGGACCACATTCGACATATAGCTAAACAAAAGTTCTTAAAATAGTTGGCATTCTTTCTAAAATCAGATACAATACTATGTACCTCGACCTGCCCCGGTAACCCTCTATTACTCTTTCATCTATTCTTCTCAATTATGGTATCTGTGCTTGGGGTTCTACTACCCAAAATCATCTACGTCCTCTAATTACTCAACACAAATCTGCTATTAGAACAATAACAAACTCTTCCCCCAGACAGCACTCAGCCCCCTTACTTAAATCTTTGAATGTGTTAAGATATTAGTCACTGCACATCCTCTCAAGTGTACTCTATATATTTAAAACTCTGAACTGTAGTGCCAATCCTGACCTTAAACGCTTCCTACAAGGTTGTAACAAAAGCCATGGGCACCACACCAGAAACAAATACCTATTTGATATTCCAAGAGTGTGACTTAACCAAACTAGAAATGCTCTGCAAATCAAGGGACCCAGAATGTGGACTGACCTTCCCAATCATGTCAAAGACTGTACCTCTCTCAACCAGTTTAAGAGTAAACTACCTAATAAGCTTCATGTAACTTACCCATTAAATGTCAGCCTATGTCTTGCTATTTTCTAACTATAATGATAATGGACCAACTTGTATAACTGCTGACATTCGCCATGTATAAACGTGAAGAAAATTGCAACCCGTTCTCGCAAATTTAATAAGTCAATATTGACTTATTAAACCAATTTTTATCATAAGTCAATATTGACTTATTAAACATGTGCATAGGTGACATACTTAACATAATAGTTTCCCTTGAAAAGCTTCATAGAAAACACCGACCTTACCTAACCTACTTAGTATGTTAAGATAAGCATCTTATTGCTTCGTAATTACAATTATTACCTAACCTATACCTATAATAGGTTAAGTAACAATTGTAATTACGAAGCTATAAGATGCATATTTTAACATACTAAGTAGGTTAGGTAAGGTCGGTGTTTTCTATGAAGCTTTTCAAGGGAAACTATTATGTTTAGTATGTCACCTATGCACGCAACTAATAAGTCAATATTGACTTATTAAATTTGCGAGAACGGGTTGGAAAATTGTAGTCTTCTGTTTATTTAGTTAAAATTACTTCTGCTGTTCTGTTTCAATTTCTACTGTTCCATCCATCATGTAATTTTTATCATTTTGTTTCTAATTTTTCCCTTTTTCAATTCAATTTATGCTTTGATCTTGATTTGTTTTATGTTTGAGTCTAAGTATTTGAGTAAGTTTGAGTCTAAGTATATTTCCCACATCTTGCCCGAAACGCTGTGCGTATTAGAGGCTTTAGGCATAGTATGTACTAACTCTATCTAGAAATCCAATGAACAAATCCACAAAGGCCGTGAGGAGGGTTCGAACTTACGTTCAGGATGATCCCAAATGCGGCTTAGTCGCCTGCGCCACCATATGGTGCAGTGCTGTCGTTATCCGATTTATATGTGCCTCAGGTGTTAGATTTGGTGTTACCTCCACTCCCAGGTCTCTTTCTCGAATCGTCACAAGTAGGTAGTTTCCTACCTAGTGACGTGTGTGTGTGTGTGTGTGTTCACCTAGTTGCGCTTACGGGGGTTGAGCTTTGGCTCTATGGTCCCGCCTCTCAACCGTCAATCAACTGGTGAACAGATTCCTGAGCCTACTGGGCTCTATTATATCTACATTTGAAACTGTGTGTAGAGTCAGCCTCCACCACATCACTGCTTAATGCATTTAATTTGTTAAACTACTATGACACTGAAAAAATCTTTCTAATGTCTCTATGACTCATCTGCGTACTCAGTCTCCACCTGTGTCCCCTTGTTCGTGTTTCACCCGTGCTTGGTGGAACGTGTGGAAACAAATTCTGTCTTTGTCCACCCTGTTAATTCCCCTGAGTATTTTGTAGGTGCTTATCATGTCTCCCCTTGCTCTTTTGTTTTTCAGTGACGTGAGGTTCAGCTCCCTAAGCCTTTCCTCGTAGCGCATACCTCTCAGTTCCGGGACTAGTCTGGTGGCATACCTCTGAATCTTCTCTATTCAGTGTATGTGTGGGTGTGTACTCACCTATTTGTGTCTGCAGGATCGAGTAGTGACTCTTGGATCCCGCCTTTCGAGCATCGATTGTTTATAGCAATGACTATGGTTATGTGCGTGTGCGTGTGTGTGTGTGTGTGTGTGTGTGTGTATTCACCTAGTTATGTTTGCGGGGGTTGAGCTCTGCTCTTTCGGCCCGCCTCTCAACTGTCAATCAACTGTTTCTACTACTATTTCCCCCCCCCCCCCCACACCACACACACACACCAGGAAGCAGCCCGTGACAGCTGACTAACACCCAGGTACCTATTTACGGCTAGGTAACAGGGGCATAGGGTGAAAGAAACTCTGCCCATCGTTTCTCGCCGGCGCCCGGGATCGAACCCGGGACCACAGGATCACGTGTCCAGCGTGTGTGTGCCCCCCCAACCTCCACCCCAAAAAATTACATTATATATATATATATATATATATATATATATATATATATATATATATATATATATATATATATATATATATATATATATATATCAGAGCAGATAGGGAAAAAGTCTAGATGTGAGTTTATTGCTTGTTTACTAATATTCATTTATTTTTTCAGAAAGCGGGGAGGGAGGGTAATGCCCACCCCGCCAAGACCTTCCCCGTACCGCAACACTCTGCCCTACCTCCTGCTTCTGTTGGCGTCCTGCCTACTTGTCCCTCCTGCGGGAGCTTGGCACACTATTACTGCTGCCAACTCAACGCCAACCACCGGAATACCTGCTACCTCTCTCATGTCTTCCACCCTCGTCGCCATGACCACCACTCTTGCACCCCTACACGTTCCGGCTGCCAATTCTACAAGAATCCCTTCCATTACAACCACAGCCATAGTCACTACGCACATCCATGTGCCTCGCGAACCTTGTCTTCCCGCCAAACCTGTCGCAGACGTGCCTTTCGAGGAAGTCAGCGTCATCAAAGAATCCAGAGAATTTGCCAACACTGACTACAATCAAACCACATTGGCAGACGATTCTTTAGACAAGTTTGATGCTAATGACACCTACCTTAGGGAAGAGTTTAACGTGACGGGGTGGTCGAGGACGGACGTGGGACTGACGGTGCTGAAGGCGATAGTGATGTGCACTATTATCTTGGTGTCAGTGCTGGGCAATGTGTTGGTGATCGTCAGCGTGGCACTTCATCGCCGACTCCACTCCACTGCTAACTACCTCCTCGTGTCCTTGGCCACAGCCGACATGCTTGTTGCTCTCTGTGCCATGACCTTCAATGCCTCCGTCGAGCTGTCTGGGGGCCGCTGGATGTTTGGCCGCGTCATGTGCGACTTGTGGAACAGCTTTGATGTGTACTTCTCGACGGTGTCCATCATGCACCTGTGTTGCATCAGCGTGGACCGCTACTACGCCATCGTTCGCCCGCTAGAGTACCCACTCACCATCACCCGTCGAATCCTTACCATCATGCTGGCCCACTGCTGGTTAGCTCCCACTATCATTTCCTTTCTGCCCATCTTACTGGGTTGGTACACCACCTCCGACCACCTCCGAAGCCGAGACGCTCAACCACATGTCTGCGCCTTCGTCGTGAATGCTGTTTTTGCGCTGGTATCCTCAGCAGTTTCCTTTTGGGTTCCATGTACCGTCATGGTGGTCATGTATTACCGTATATTTCAAGAGGCGCGCAAGCAAGAGCGAGCAATGCTATCTCGTGCCTCGTCAGCCAATTCTGCAGCATACGCTTCTTCCATCAGGCGAAATGCAGCCTTACACCAACAGCAGAGCACTGAATCATCGACCGTGGCGCGCCAACAGCTATTGGTGGCGCTGCAAACAACACCTTTCACGCCGACAGCTCGCCACCAGGAATTCCTCATGAAGACATTCAATGACACTTCGTCAACAGCATCCGTAGCGACAACATCGTCGGGTGTGCCGTCTGTGGTTCCCTCTGGTAACAGTAGTTCCCGCAGCAGCAGCGGCGGTGGTGTGGCCACTAATGTTGTGGCCAGCAGTGTGGCTGCGGGCAATGGTGCGAGCGCCAGCACTGTCTCAAAGAATAGCGGCACGAATGGTACCAACAGTGTCAGCGGGTGGAGGAGCGCCCGGCACGGTAGTACGGCCTCTTGGCACGGCCCCTCGCGGCACAACTCTCACGTGCCGTGCAACCGTCGCATGCACAGCACCCCACTGGTAACGGGCAAGCCGGGGCCGCTACCGGTGGGGCGGCGAGAACACAAAGCGGCTCGAACACTCGGGCTCATCATGGGAGCCTTCGTGCTTTGCTGGCTTCCCTTCTTCACCTGGTACGTCAGCATCAATGTATGCGGCCCCTCCTGCCGCTGCCCCCACGCCGTCGTCACTGCACTCTTCTGGATTGGCTACTTTAATTCCACGCTCAATCCCTTCATCTACGCCTACTTCCGTTCGGACTTCCGGCAGGCTTTCCACCGAACTCTCAAACGGATGAGTTGCTGCCGGCCTCGCCAGCCAGCCGGAGTGTTCGTGTGATCCCCGCGTTCGGCTCGCCATTACCTGCACCAGCTAAGTCATGGTGCTACGCCGGTCTGCTTGACTGACAACTGGAAATAATGTGAATATTTATCGGTTATGTCAGCGATGGTATGTGTCCGGAAACAATAATTATCTAGTCATTATGACAGTCTTACTGAGTGAGTAAACTATCTGGTTATATTAAATACCCATTTAGAATCAATGTGTTCCACTTTAATATTGAGAGTGACACTAACGGTGCACAAAAGCCTGATCACAACCCCGATATCCAATTGTTTCGTCAAGGATAGAGATTTGATCTTGGGTCTGTCATCACTTAAGCGTCTGAGATTATTTTCAGTGCTCCTTGTCATATTAATGTTCCCTTGCATCTACCTTGTTTTGTTTATTTTTTCGCAAAACAAAGCACAATATGACAAACAGACTCCCCCGTATTTATTTTATTTAAAATTACCCTTAATGTGTATACAAAAATTACTGTGCATTATTACATGTAAAATACTGTGTATATATATATATATATATATATATATATATATATATATATATATATTATAATCCAACAATAAGCAAGAATTATATAATGTAGCCACGAGATAATTTTTCGTAACACACTTTAATGGAAAAAAAAATCAAAGTGACGAGAATCAGGTTATTACAGTATATGTTTAGAACTAACGTTCAAAAAACGAGAATTCAACCAAATAATTTTGGAACAAAAAAAAACAAAAGACTGAAGGATAAATTATTTAATTCTATGCTGGCAGTGTAGCCATGAGGCAGCAGGTGTTGCATGCTCAATTAGCACTGAGGTCAGGGACATGTATATACAAATTATATATGATTTATGTAAGCATTGTACATAATTGATTATATATATATATATATATATATATATATATATATATATATATATATATATATATATATATGTGTGTGTATGTGTGTGTGTAAATAGGAATGAATCAAAACATGAATTATATGAATTGTTTGTCTCGCATTTACAAAGGATTCGTGTAACCGCTCGGTGCAAATTTAAAGTGCACTAAATCATTCACGTTTCAATGATAATAAAACAGAAAAGGCAGATTCCGTTGGCCAACCGTCGCTCAGGATGAGTTTAGACTTGCCACGTTCAGTAGGATGATGAGGCTGGACTTGTCACGTTCAGTAGGATGATGAGGCTAGACTTGTCACGTTCAGTAGGATGAGGCTAGACTTTTCACATTCAGTAGGATGAGGCTAGACTTACCACGTTTAGTAGGATGAGGCTAGACTTACCACGTTCAGTAGGATGATGAGGCTAGACTTTCCCCGTTAGAAGGATGAGGCTAGACTTTTCACATTCAGTAGGATGATGAGGCTAGACTTGTCACGTTCAGTAGGATGAGGCTAGACTTGTCACGTTCAGTAGGATGATGAGGCTAGACTTGTCACGTTCAGTAGGATGATGAGGCTAGACTTACCACCTTCAGTTGTTCAGTAATATGAGGTAATATTGAACTTGCCACGTTTAATACCTTGGGGGAAATCTTTCCTAGTAATGGCAGGCGACTGAGCGAGAAAATCAAAGATGAATATTAAATTATTTAACAAAACAAAAATGAAAGAATTCCGAGTTACAGGCTTATATATAAAGAAATTGTCATATTTGATTTGACTAATGTTGCGTTTTTAGACTTATGTGTGAGATTTTGGATTAAAACAAAAAGTCATTTATACTTTTAGGGTAACATAAAAGATGCGTAACAAATTCGGACACTTAATTTGCTGGAGTGAAGGTATCAGCTATTGACTGGTCTGAGATCCAGCTGCCTGGCCCCAGGCTGATGTTCAAGACGAGACTAATATTGAACACTCACCCTCTTACTTCCCCCTCTTAACTTCCACACCAAATACAAGCTCAGGTAAAGGCACTCAACATATCTCTTCCGTGAGTACAAAGTTTTTAGTTTGCCTTTGCATCTTAGGTATTGGGAGACATCTGAGGTGCAAAGCTAATAATTACATTTTAAGATCAAATGTGTGAGGCTGTGGATGCTCAGTCACTGCCACTACTTGCGAGATTTCTCCAGAAAGTAAACATTTATTATTGACTAAAGAAGCATCTTTATTTGCCAGACGCTAAAGCGTTAGGTAATATAATACAAGCATTTCTCTCAATGATACAAGATACCCAGAAATTAAGTTTTGAATAATTATAGGAAGCTATGATGAAATGACTGGTTGATGACTGTATTCTTTGTAAAACAAGGAATAGAATCAGGGTGGTGCGATCACCAAGTACAATGAAGCTAATGATTTATCACCAAATTCGCATGTCATGAAAACATACCAACCTGTATTTCAATAAAACATTTGTATCCATATAAATTATCAATGAGTTGTTAACTGGGATACACCAAAACGGTTAAGTACTCTCTCTCTCCATATACACATATTAACATTGCTATAATATCCTAAACTGTTATCATAGTCAATGTTTAAGACTGTTTTAACTTCAGTGTCTAAAAACCGATATCATGCTCAATATCTAAAACGTTTAAGCAAATGCACATAAACCTTTATGAGTATAATTGTAACTTAAAATGTCCAGGATTATTGGTGTGTGTCAATATATATACCATGGTTGTGTGTGTCAAATGCTGTGCTCGGTGACCGGCCACACATGGTGGTCAACTGCGAACAATGTACAGGAAATAGGTCAATTAACACTTGCAGGCATTTCATGTTAGATACAGGGTGGTTCAAAACATATTTACTTGAATCCTTTTTGTAGTAAATACAATACTATATTAATATAATTTCCATTGTATCAGTGGACCGTATTATTTAGTTCAGCCTGCTCAATGCCCTTAGTCACTAAATGCAGGCTAGGATATTGCTGATGATGTCTTGGATAATTACCCAGGGTAACCCATTTGGCTTTCCTCGGGATACCTCTTAAGTTAAGAGTACACAAGGCTCCCAAAACGCGTGATCAGAGTCAGTTCAAAACTAGTATTTCCCGGGGAAATTAACAAGAACCACTCTTGTTTTGGTCTGGTGTCGGGTTGAAAGCTCACCAATCTCTGGAGGAATATTAAAGCCACGACAATAGCTTATAGACCAACAACATATATAATATATCCCTGGACATGGTCCATTCAGGCTTATGGTAAACTCGCTAGTGTATGTACTCCAAGAAGCAAGGTACACCTCTCGAAGCGTATTTGCCTGTTTATCCACAGCATGTCATCACCAGCCGCTTGACTCAAGTGCTGGAGGTCTTGACACTTGAGTGTGTGTAGACTGAGCCTCTGAGGCCTTCAGCATCGCTGACCTTCCCCGTGTTATACCAGTATTAAAACCAACCGAAAGTCTCTGCTTCTACACGATTTGCAGACCTGTTCGTCTTTTTATGACCACCACGATAAAATTTCATATATTTTGGACCACCCTGTGCCTTATAATTTGTGTGTTGTGAATGTATAACTGTCTGGCAGTGCTTGTGAGGTGCTTCGTCTCAAACTTAAGCGTACATTGGATAAAATACTGTACTGCCATTAAAATTATATATATATAACTTTAGAACAGTCTCCCACCAGGAGACTCGAACCCTAACCAGCACAGAAGCCTCACAGCAACTGGCATAACAGGTACGCCTTTAACAGTTGCTGTGAGGCTTCTGTGCTGGCTAGGGTTCGAGTCTCCTGGTGGGAAAGTGTTCTAAAGTTGTAAAACTTCACTTGCGTGTTTAGGCAAGTTGTGCATTTTATATATATATATATATATATATATATATATATATATATATATATATATATATATATATATAATGAATATGTAATGTTATTCATAATTTTAACTGTGTGCTTAAAATAATAAGCTATTTCCTTCTTTAATGAACTAGTCTGGGAGATTAAATGTTGTATTTCGTCATTCCCCCACAAAACATGTCTTCATTATTTGCAGGTATGATCAATTGTATTATTTAATATATAATATATATATATATATATATATATATATATATATATATATATATATATATATATATATATATATATATAATATTATATATATACAATTTTATTTATGACTTTGTATGTGCTTGAGTGCAAAATACTATAGGTGTTTTTAAACTATCATTCCGAAATATTTTATTACGAGTTTTTGTTGAACGTTCCATGTTTATTTCTGTAAAGTAGACCTAGTACAATTGTCTTTGATGAAAATATCATGCTTTTATTTATACACCTTATGGACCCAACCCACCAGATGTAATGTGGCTCAAAGTTCAAGTACAAGATTCTCTATTTTGGGCGAGTTTGCAAGAGTTATAGCAAGATGCAGGCTGATCACTGTAACCTCTGCCACTGTAGCTTTTGACACTAACTTCTACCACTGTAACTTCAAGCGCTAGAACTTATATCACTGTAACTATTGACACGAACTTCTGACACTGAAACCTCTGTCAATATAATTTATACACCTGTAACCTGTGTCACTAACTTCTACACCTGTAACCTGTGTCACTAACTTCTACACCTGTAACCTGTGTCACTAACTTCTACACCTGTAACCTGTGTCACTAACTTCTACACCTGTAACCTGTGTCACTAACTTCTACACCTGTAACCTGTGTCACTAACTTCTACACCTGTAACCTGTGTCACTAACTTCTACACCTGTAACCTGTGTCACTAACTTCTACACCTGTAACCTGTGTCACTAACTTCTACACCTGTAACCTGTGTCACTAACTTCTACACCTGTAACCTGTGTCACTAACTTCTACACCTGTAACCTGTGTCACTAACTTCTACACCTGTAACCTGTGTCACTAACTTCTACACCTGTAACCTGTGTCACTAACTTCTACACCTGTAACCTGTGTCACTAACTTCTACACCTGTAACCTGTGTCACTAACTTCTACACCTGTAACCTGTGTCACTAACTTCTACACCTGTAACCTGTGTCACTAACTTCTACACCTGTAACCTGTGTCACTAACTTCTACACCTGTAACCTGTGTCACTAACTTCTACACCTGTAACCTGTGTCACTAACTTCTACACCTGTAACCTGTGTCACTAACTTCTACACCTGTAACCTGTGTCACTAACTTCTACACCTGTAACCTGTGTCACTAACTTCTACACCTGTAACCTGTGTCACTAACTTCTACACCTGTAACCTGTGTCACTAACTTCTACACCTGTAACCTGTGTCACTAACTTCTACACCTGTAACCTGTGTCACTAACTTCTACACCTGTAACCTGTGTCACTAACTTCTACACCTGTAACCTGTGTCACTAACTTCTACACCTGTAACCTGTGTCACTAACTTCTACACCTGTAACCTGTGTCACTAACTTCTACACCTGTAACCTGTGTCACTTCTACACCTGTAACCTGTGTCACTAACTTCTACACCTGTAACCTGTGTCACTAACTTCTACTACTGTATCTTCTGCCACTTCAACTTGTCACTATAACTTCTGCCATTGCTACTTCTTTTGCTATAACAGTCACTATAACTTTTCTCTTAACTTCTTTAACTATAACTTCTGCCACTATTACATCCGTCACTGTAACTATCACTGTATTTTCTGTTACTTTAACATCTGCCACTATAGTTTCTGTCATTACAACTTCTGCCACTGTAACTTCTGCTAATATGCGAATAAATATGTCTACGTTATACACACAATTCATTATAAATAAATTATTCTCTACACAAACATTTATGACATCTGTGATAATTTCATATTATTTGTAAAGTTCTCAACTTAATGCTATGTGCAGCGATTATATGCTATATGGAGCGAACAAGTGCTATACGCAACGATCATATGTTATGTTATCGTTAGTGATTCTGTGCACATTGATACCTGGTCGAAAGTAATTTAATAAGTCTAAGCTTGAATGTATATTAACTATGGGACCTACAAAATGCTGTCCTTGGTAAACTTAATTATGAATGGAGGAAATGTTCTAGCCGTATATATGCAGCCAATCCTCCGAATAGGCAGTACGTTTTAATACTAAATGTAATAAGTACAATCCTGGCTATCGGCATAGTACATAAATACACTTAATTGCCAGCATCGCACCAAAATATTGTGAATATTAGAATTTACCTGAAAAGCTGTATAGAAAACCACGACCTAACCTAACCTTGGGAATGTAGGAGGTCAAGCATGTAAATAGCAT